TTTCGTCTTCTATTTCTGCCTATAATCTTTGTATTCTCAATACAGGACTCCCCACCCTGTCTATATAAAAATTCTCCCTCTTTAAACGAGTCATGGTTTGATCCCTTCTGCAGTAAGGTTGCTCCTCCCTACGTCTCATCCTTAGAAGAATCCTCTCCTACTTTTGATCCTTAATTATCTCCCTTTTCATCCTCTTATTGCTTCGTTTACACTCAGTGAAATTTCCTATGCAATCTATTCGCGTAAATCGTCCATCTCTGGTTTGGATGGAATTTTCCTTTTGGTTTTAAAACATCTCTCATCTTATTGTCTTGAACTTTTCTTAGTCATTCTTAATTCTTTATGGTCCCAAGGTGTTATTGCTGATTCTTGGCGTAATTTTAACGTCATTCCCGTTCCTAAATCTAACTCAGCTTCCGTTGCATTTCGCCCAATAGCTCTTTCCTCTTCTCTTTGTAGAGTAGTCGAACATACTATCAAGAACCCCCTTGATTGGTTTTTTTAAAAAAATAACTGTCTTCCTGCTAACTTATACGGGTTTCGAAGAGGTCTGGGCACCATGGAGTGTTTATCTACTCTCACGGCCTGTATATACAAAGCATTTTGTGATAAATCCTATTGTCCCGCTGTTTTTGTTGACATCAAAGGTGCATTTGATTCTGTACACATTCCTACCCTTATTTCCCTTTTACATTCTTATTCTATACCCCCTACACTTTGTAATTTTATTTCACGTCTCTCTTCACAACGTTTCCTTACTTTCACTTCTCTATCCGGTTAAATATTAAATCGCACATCCTACCGGATAGCCCCACATGGTAGCTGCCTTAGTTCTCTTCTTTTTAATATTTACATGAGCAAAATTAGCCTCTCCCTCACCTCTAGTGGAACTTTCTCACTTTTCTATGCTGATGATATCGTTCTTTTTTCTTCTCATATAATGTCCTCAACTCTCTTAATAACNTGATGATATCGTTCTTTTTTCTTCTCATATAATGTCCTCAACTCCCTTAATAACTCACTTGCCGTCCTCTCTAACTCTCTTCAAATTCATTATTTTGAGGCTGCTCCATTGAAAAGCCAGTTAATAATTTTCACTAGAACGTAACATTCCCGTTTCTGACTTTCTCCGCCTTTTTCGACAGACAGTTCTTCAAGCCTGGCAGGACAGTTGGACTACAATAAAATTGAAAACGGTATGTTGGTACTGCTCGATATCTCCTTCCATTATTCATTCTCCATGGTTTCATAACCTTGACTTATCCAGAAATATCATTTTTCAGTACACAAGAATTAGGTTAGGTCATAATTTTCTTCCTTACCATGCATTCCATCTTTCCTTAAATTCCGTTTCCTTCTGTCTCCTACATGATAGTGAAGCTCTAAGCGATTTTTCTCATCTTCTCTTTGATTGTTCTGCCCTAATTAAAAGCAGAACTAAACTATTTAGCCTCTTAGCCTTTCACAATATTAATCACCCTTCCGTAGCTAATACTCTTAATTCCCATTCTTCCTTTATTATTATTTCCATCATATCTTACTTGAGGAGTTCGGGCTTTGTCATTTAATCTCTCATTATTTTATTTTATATTTTTCTATTTACTTATTTTCTCTCTTTTTCCATTATTTCAAATCAAAATTTTAATTAGTAATTTTTAGCTTCGATGCGAAGTTAAGAAGGCATTAATTTTACTGTGATATGTTTTTTTTTTCTTTATCACTTTTTCTCAGCTCTAACCGAACGGATTTCTTTCAACGATACCTCAAAAGATCACAAATCGTATCTAGTCAAAGACATTACCCTCAAAAATTGAATAATTTTCCCTCGTTTCCCGTAAATGGGGGAAACCTCCAAAAAAATTACAAATTTCAAAATCGCTTGTTTTCGAAATTTTTTCAATTTTTAGCTTCGATGCGAAGATGAGAAGGTATTGGTTTTACTAAGATGTGTTTTTAGCTTCGATGCGAAGCTGAGAAGGTATTGGTTTTACTAAGATGTGTTTTTTTTTTTTTTTTTTGTCTGTTACCACTTTTTCTTAGCTCTCACCGAACCGATTTCTTTCAATGATACGTCAAAAGATCACAAATCGTATCTAGTCGAAGACATTACCCTCAAAAATTGAAAAAAATTCCCTCGTTCCCCGTAAATGGGGGAAACCTCCAAAAAAATTACAAATTTAAAAATCGCTAATTTTCGAAATTTTTTCAATTTTTTTTACTTAAAAGTGCCATAACTTTTTCAAAAATGAACATATCAATATAATTCTTTTTTATATAGATGCATAATATCATTACCTTTCATTTGGTATATTTTTTTCATAAATTTAACCCTTAACCTGCCCACAAGGGGGGATTTAAAATGACAACTTTTTCACAAAAAATTAATTTTTTTAACTTAAATTTTGAAAATGTTCCGGAAGGTCTGACACTTTTATATATATCTTAAATTAAAGCTAATGTAATATGCTTTATCATGAAAAAAAAAAATTTCGGACTTTATCTTATCTTCATGGTGAAAATGGCTACCGAATGCTATTTTTGTGTGAAAATTTTCGATTTTGTATTTTCCATTTTTAACTTTATTATGCTATAACTTTTTGAAAAATGTATGAATCATTACAATTTTTTTATGAGAAGTAGTATTTATATAGATCTTTCATTCGACATACTGTTTTTTTAAATCGGACCATTTCCCTAAATACAGGGGGGATTCAAAACATAAAAATGCATATAGAAAGTAGAACTTTTTCAACGTAACTTTTGAAAGTGTTCCGGAAGGTCTGACACTTTTATATATATCTTAAATTAAAGCTAATGTAATATACTTTATAATGGTAAAAAAAAATTTCGGACTTTATTTTATCTTCATGGTGAAAACAGACATTAAACTTAATAAAAAAAATACGATTTTTGTAAAAAAATTCTTTTTTATATTTTTAACTTTATAATGCTATAACTTCTCGAAAGATGTATGGATCAATATAATTCTTTTTTTTGTAGATGCATGATGTCTTTACCTATCATTTGGTATATTTTTTTTATAAATCTGACTTTTTACCTGCCTACAGGGGGGGATTCAAAATGACAACTTTTTCACAAAAAATTGACTTTTTCAACTTAAATTTTGAAAGTGTTCCGGAAAGTCTGACACTTTTATATATATCTTAAATTAAAGCTAATGTAATATACTTTATCATGGAAAAAAAAAATTTCGGACTTTATTTTATCTTCAAGGTGAAAATGGCTACCAAATGCTATTATTGTGTGAAAATTCTCAATTTTATTTTTTACATTTTTAACATTATAATGCTATAACTTATTGAAAAGTGTATTGATCAATATAATTTTTTTATGGGAAATACTATTTTCTAATAATCTCTTTTTTATTCTACATACTTTGTCTTAATCAGGATATTAATAAGGAACTAGCAGTTTATGAAGCTTTTGGAATAATCCACCAATTTTTTAAAATTAAACACTATCTAAAGATTTGCATCGAAGCGTTTTTTTTTTATAGTGATTTTAATCACTGTCAGATATCATTATACTTGATCCAACTATGCCACGTCACCACTGTGCCGCGACCCCCCTGTGCTGGGTTTTTTTTTACTTAAAATTGCTATAACATTTTTAAAAATAACCAAATCAATATAATTTTTTTTTTATAGATGCTTGATATCGTTACCTATTATTTGGTATATATTTTTTATAAGTTTAACTCTTTACCAGCCCACAGGGGGGGATTCAAAATAACAACTTTTTCACAAAAAATTGACTTTTTCAACTTAA